GTAATAGAATCCTGCTATTATTTAAAAGATTTCCTATAGAAAGTACAGCTTAGTTGTACACAATAATCCAAGCCCAACAATATGTACATGTAAGACTCATTACAATTTTCTCCTACTTGCCTCATGAGGCTCAATGCTCAAAAGAGATCAATGACTCTGAGGTGAATTGACAAAATGGGTATTTTATCTTTTACTTGTGCCCTGCCTTAAACAGTGAAAAAGATTAGTTTATATTTATTTTCTGAAGAATTTCTACTTTCATTTCTGTAAGTATTACCACATTCAGCTGCTTTCACGCTCTTTCTGTTTCACTAGCAATCTGTTAGTGATCTTTTCCTTTCATGTATCCACATATATATCCTAATGAAATCATTATGGCTGAACTGTTGGTTTTCATCCTCCTCTATTCCTACAGTATATGGTGGTAATGATCTCATTTTATTTTGATACACTGACATTACAGCTGTGCTTTTCATCCCCCCAAATCTATTTTATGTTTATTTAAATAAATATATTTAATTATTCAAATCACACAGCTGTACTGCATAATCTCACTTGATGCGAAAACATTTGATTATCAGATATGGGATACTGACATGGCTGCTAACATTTTTTTTGTTGTGTCAATTACAAGTTGTTAAACAATAATACCCTGAACTGTTGTATGACAAAAAAGGAAAAAGAAAAAATATTTGATGATGGTTTAAAAGGTTTTGCTATTAAAGGGGGAAGATGTGTCTCATTTCGTATCTTCTTGCATTGTAATCCATTGTCAGCTTGCGTTATCTTACATCTTTTAACTTAGAGGACAATAATTCTTCCATTATGTTTTGTTTTTTTTTTTTTTTTTACTTTTAGTCTCAGGACTTAATTGAAATGTGGAAGTCTTACTAAAGCAAGGATTGCAAAAATAAGCAAATATTTCTTAGTAAACCACTATATGAATAGTGGAGCTTTGCTAATTTCTATCTATTTCGGGGATCAGGTTGTGCATTTTCTGGAGCTTGGAAACAAGTGGCAAATTTAATCAACTTTTTGGCCTTGTGCTTTGTCTGAAATTTTCTCCTTACCCACAGAAGTACTATTGTTGACTTTGTTCATAATGCTGGCCAGTTTTTCACCATGAATATATAATCAAGACTAGGAAAGGGGGATTTTTATTTCTTTTGTTCTGCTCATTTTCCATGTTCCATAACACACTGTTGAAGGGTTCCTTAAAAATGCATGATTTCCCTGAAGTATATGCATAAGAAGAGGAATTTCATACCTCCTCCCTCTTTCCCTTCTGTACTTCCCCATATTGGGTGAAGGGAAGAGCCTGCTGTGTAATAGTGTGGGTTAATGAGAACTAACCCTTAACTGTCATTATCTGGAAGTATTGCTAACTGATGTGAAATAGCATAGCTCGTAGTTTTGGCCTGAAATGTCTCAGCTGAGTCAGATAAAAACCCAACCAAACCACGTAGTTCACCAAATAACAGCAATAAAAGAGAAAAAGGGTCAACACTTTTGCTTATAAACATATTGTCCTTTTTTTTAGCTGTTAAAAACCTCTATCTCTGCTAGCTGCTTCTGTGTCTCAGGGAAAGTTAAGGTAATTTCCTGTATTTCTTTCCCCTCCACGAAAAGAGAAACCAGGGGATCAGTCCTACAAATAAAAGGACAACCTCTGCTCGCATCCTTTCTGGTCAGTGTCAGAAATTATGGCATTTGCTAAGCAGCCCCCTGCTAATCTCCATCTTCAGTGCCTTCCCTCAACAGTAAGCATGGTTAAAAAACACTTTGGTACAAAAATCTCAAGGGGAGGCTCATAGGACACTTTCATCTCATGAATGTACACAAGTTTGCTCCTTACTTCCTCTCTCATGAGAACCAGAAATTGATGTCTTAAGAGTCAAAATCACCCAAAGCTCACAGTTTGAACATCACTGATTCAGGTCACTCTTACTCTTACATTTTGAGTTAATATCATAGGCACACTATACTTATATTAGCTCAATTTCCAGTATTACATTTGCACAATGGTACTGCTACCCCAGACAGGTTCCCTTGGAAACCAACATATTAAAAAAATGTGTTTTGGATGTTTTTTATAAAATATTTTGAAATAAACTATGTTTTTGGGCTTTGTTTAAGAGCAAAACTTGATTATGCATGAAGAAACTAAATGTGAAGAGATTTTTAAAGTAGTAAGCTTTAGTTGAACTTGGTAAGCCAGTAAGATCAGATACATAATGTGAAATTCAGGTTTATACCTCTGGGTGTTCTAACTTACCACATTAGGGTTTGTCTTCTGCATTTGGATCTAAATTAGAAAGCAAGTTTAAAAACATGAATATATATTTTCATTTTTTATTTAGATACAAGCACATTTCCCATGAAAATGTTATTAAGGAACAATGTGTATGCGCAGGATCTTCACAGGCCACACACTAGAGACTCACAGACTGTGCATAAGAAAGAAGGGGAATGATAACTACGAAACAGACACTAAAAATAAAATAAGCACAAAGAAATTCCATTTGCTTATTCAAAATAAGGAAGATGTTTCAGAGTTCAGGAGGTTTCATGAATTACAAAGCCATAAAGCCAAGGTACAGGTGAGAATAAATAAGTGAATGATCAGGGACAGGTGCATGGGGCAGCTACTCTTATTTCAGACTCAGCTTTCTCAAGATGTTGAGAACTACTCAATATAGGAAAGAGAATTAAATCAGTGTTTACAGTTCAAGGGTCTTGTTTTCTCAGATTCATACTTCTTGTGTGAATTACCCATTTTTCAGATACCAGGAAAAGGTTCACATAAGAATAATATGTCTGCTTTATTCTGAAAGTGAGAAAAGGTTTCATCAGTACCTGAGACTATGTTAGACTTCTACAAAGGAATAAAACTTTTTCACTGACTAGTATATTGTTCTCATTGAAATTACTGCCTGAATAGATTACTATTCCATGTGAGTAAGTGCAACAGATCCAGGACTATGTTATTTTACTGTCAATCAGTGAAAGAACTCAGCAGCTTTGTAGGTTTGAAGCATCATCATATTTTAATAAGAGAAATCTGGTGAAAGGATTAGAAGACAGTAAGTAAAAAAAAGAAATATAGTCTGCATCAGAAGGCAAATATAGTTTTGGGTTTGATCTTTACAAAGTATTTTATGTCTATGTCAAAAAAAAAACAAACAAAGCATTATTTTTCTCATTTATGTCAACAGTAAGGTGGTATATCCAGTAAATAAACTGATCTCTGTTTTCCTTTGAGGTCTGAGATTTAAACTTAGTGGACATATGAATTATCTATATATATTATATATATTATTCATATATATATATATAGGCTAAGATAAATATATATATCATTGTGGTAGTGTAACAGATACTTTTATTTTATTTCTAATTTAGCTATTGTTCTGTTCCATCACCTAAGTAGAAGGTATTATATCATCCAAACTCTGGGAATGACATGATAAGAGCAATGTTTATCAGGACAAAATACTTTGCTGTATTTTCACTAAAGGGTGTGAATCTCTCACTGATATAGTTTATACAGAGTCTGTTTCAAATATATTCCTCCTAGATGAATACTTTCTCTCAATCTTTCTTGTTTTTATGTTTTTCCATTCAATCTTTACTTTGTCATTTTACCCATATCTATGGAACCTTCGGAGTAGAACCCTTTCCCACAGATGACATTTTTTAAATAAATGAGAAGAGATTACTGTTTGAAAAAATGCCTCCTTAAATGAGTGGATGGCAAGTGACTTTAAAAGTGACCTAAAATGAATCATTCTTTTCAGCTCTTTTCTACCATTTTTATTTCTGTACATGTTGTTTTTGATTCATTCCTGCATTTTCTGCATATTAATAATGCGCTTGATTTCAGGAATTTATGTGCAATGACAATGAATTCATACAATTAGACTCCTCTTACTTCCAAAATTACACACCCACATACTCCGTTTCTGCACCCTCTGAAAGTAAGCATTTAAAAAAAGGATGAGCTGAGTCCCTTTGGTAAAGACCAGCTAAATGGAACTCTTGCACATTCACAGGGAAGGTGGAATTAAAAATCAAAAAATGTCACCTACTGTTGTACAAATATTTTAATTTCTTAAAGATTTCTTCTTCCATGCTCATCATTTTATTCTCTCCTGATTCAGACATACAGTTTGTATTCAGTTCACTTTTATTTTCTGGGTTAGTCTTTTAATCTGGCAGATGTTTTAACTTGTTACTGAAAAATCTCATAATTCTTTAAACCAACATATATTAAATTACTTGCAATCAATAGTGTAAAATGATGAACACAGTGTTTTTTGCTCAATGTATTTCTTGATATTTTTGTTACAGTATAGGACTCATAAATGTAGTGATTATGGTACCTTCACTTTGGTCTTAAAATTTGCAACCTTTAGGTCTCATCTGTCTTAACCAGTATGTCACTGTAGTAGTTTAATTGTCTTCAGTAGAGGTATTCCCAAGGATATTCTTGAAATGTTTTCGGAAAAATATGTTTCCATTGGTGAACATTATACTAGGCAAGTCCTGATGAACTCTAGTGAAATTCAGCTGTTAATGACCTGGCTTTAAGTATCTCCGAAACTATTCATATTGGAATAACCCTGAACTACTTTTTCTTCTCGTGTATCAGTTATGATGTACTCTCTTTTTTATCTTTCTCCTTTCTCATTTCTCTTTCACTTCAGATTAAATTAAATCTTTTTTCTAGAATTCAAGTCTCTCACAGAGTCAAGAAATATATTTTATTTTCTTTGTATTCTCTTGTATTTCCTCTTTTACTGCAAATTCCAGACAATTTTCCAGACACCAAAGAAGAGCAGGCCAGATTTCATTCCTTTTATCACCCTAGTGTATTTCAAAGCTAGAACAACATTAACGTTTTCCTAATCCATGGAACTGATTTTGGCCACAAAAAGTTGAATTATTTCTACTAAATCAGTATGAATTTCATTTATTTAATTTGGATCAACATGGTCGTGGGATTCCCCTCAACTATTTTAAGAGTTCCTTATAAGAGTTTACATTTTAAAAATTATGTATCAAATGAATTCTATTTTTTTGTTATCAGTTTTATAACTTTATTCTTCTTCTGATACTGTAGCCTTTGTTCTCTGTGAATACTTGCTCATCACGGTATACTTTTGTTCAAAGATAGTCTGCTTTGACACACTGAGATCTTCCTTTATTTACTCTTTAACACCTGAAATATAATTGTACAAAGTGGCTATATAAGTAACATTACTGTAAAAAAATCATACAAAGAAAAATAGTTCACCTGATATATAATTCTCTCTTCCACTCCAATTACTGTCTTCTGTTTTACTAAACAGATAATTTCTTACACAACTTCATTATGCTTTTCTTGACCATCTCATATCTATTTTATATAAAAGAAAACACATGCCTATGACTACATGATACAGCTTTTAAATACACGTCACTGATTTTAATTTCTTTTCCTTTGATGTAAGGACATTCTTGACAAGATTCTTCATATTTTGTAACCCTTTCCTTAAGTGTTCTGTCTAAATTTAGGTAGAATCCCTTTCCTGAAGATGTTGAATGTAGACATAGTGTTGCTCATGCTGTTCTCTTATTGCTTAAATTAAATTGACTTCAAAGACAACAGCTATATGTTACTTAGTAAATCAAGAATATCATTATCTTTTTTTTTCTTTCTTTTTTTTTTTTTTTTTTTTTTTTTGTAAAAGTAATTGTTTAGGGAATCAATTATTTTTGTTAGCTCAGAAATTTGATCTTTTAAATCTTGTTCCATTTGGATATTTGACCAACTACTATGCAGATTGATGAGGCTATACAATTTTGTTTTCTATAGACAGTTACATAATGGTCTTCATAGAAAAGTAGTCTAGGTTGAGAAATTGATTTCTTTTTCCAATTAATACCACATTCTTTAGCAGAATTTTGGTGAGATCTTAAAGGACAAGTCAAGCAGTAAGATCATTAATTGATTTTAATTCTGGGTCATGCTCATAGAAATTACACAAATTGCTACTTGGTAATAGTGTAAAATGATTTCCTACACTTTCAACAGTCATTTCATAAGGAATGGCAGTCTTGTTAGAACTGTGAGCTGAACTATTGTTCAAAGTATGAGAAAGAGGGAAGAAAAGAAGCAGTTTAGTGTTTAATTTTATTTTATTTGTTCCTTTTCTTTCATGGTAGTTAAGAATCTGTTTGGAATTATGATCTGAAAATGAGAAAGAGAAAATTCTTTGCAAACTAGACTCTCTTAAATCTAATAACTGATGAGAACAATGTCTCATTATATATTCTCTACTTGCCTCTGGAAATATAAACTGGAGTTAGGTCTTTTTTCCTACGATAGTGACCTAAGCCAGAACTAGCATTTCCATTTCTTCTCTGTAATAAAAGTCTGTGCCAGAAGATGAAGAGTATACTCATAGTCTTTCTCATAAAAGTTATTTTGAAGATCAAAGGTAATAGGAAGGGTGCAATGTAAAATCTTGGTGTGTCTGTGGCAGGTTGTGTGGCTTGCTATATTTCTAGTGCATTTCTATCCCAGTGCCCTTTTCATGGCCAATGTGAAAATGATCAAAATCACTACTTCTGTGTCTAACTTATTTCAAATAAGTAACTCTAGGCATAAACACCTGAAAAAAAAAAAAAAAAAAAAGCCTGTAACCTTGATCTGATATTATAGTTCCTTCCAATCTGAAAATCACTAGATTTTACATTAGGTGCCAGTTCTTGAGTCTCCTATGATTTTTGGCTCAGTTTTTATTCATAAATATAATTTCAGTGCCTAACATACTCTATAATTCCAATCAAACTGCGTTACCCACATACAAACGTACAGGCCCTCTATATAATTTCTGAAACTTGTCACATCTCCTCAAAACTTTAGTAATCAGTCATGGTCAGTTATGGTCCCAAGAGATGGTGTAAATGTCTTCTCAGTGCATCCCTTCCACTCTTAGTTTCTCTATCTCCCCAGGAAACACTGGTTCTAGTTCTGGACCCACCACTTCTCTTATCTCTGAATTCCCTTAAGTTAGAAGATTTTTACATAAAATTGTACTCACATGAGACTGATGAAGTCTCTTAACTGTTTCAAGACTTGATCAGGCAATTCTCTTGGCTATAAATTCACATCCTGCCCCGTACACTGTAGGAGGAAGATACAGCATTGCATTAATTAATTTTACTTGAATTAGAAAAAATCTGATTAAATGATCAATTGATTACTTGATTACTTTTCACTGTTAAATCTCCTAAGTTATTCTTAAGGTCTTTAACTTTTACTGAGTGCATTGCTGAGATGATGGGTCTCCTGATGTTTGGTTTAAGATGTAGGTTAAAAGACAACAATAAGAATATTATGCTGATAGAAGCCAAACAAAGTATATTAAAAAAATTAGCTTCTAATATAACATATGAATAAATGACTCCTCAAGGAATAGCAAAACATAACAAAAACCTTCTTTCATATAAACCTATGTAATTTCTGTATAGAAGACTTCTTAATAAACAGTGTGAGAAGAGGGTCATAAAAAACCTAACCTTTTAACTAATGCTTTTTAACTAATGCTATGTCATTGTTAACAAGGAATCTTTGATTTTATAATTATTTTAAAGTAGGACAGATTAATTTGATTTAAATTCACTGATTTCAGTGAACAATTTTAAGCATTATTTAAATCAGCAAGATGAAAAACATGATTTAAAAATTACCTAACTTTTTTTTTCTTTTTATTATTTAGTAATTTTTCTAAAGAAAGACTGAGTCATTGTTTTCTATAGTTTTCTATTTTTTAATTGCCTTTTTAGGATAAATAATACCTACATATATTTAGAAATAACTAAGTTATTAAACAAAAAGGCTATTATATTTGTTGTGCTGAAGTGGTTGTTTCTGATTATTGTGTCCTTCAAGAACTTAAAACTAACATATCTTGGTTTCTCACATATATATTTTTTTTTAATAAAATGGAAAAGCCATCTGACTTTCTCAAACCAAATTTGTGTTTGTTTGTTTTCAAAGTTTAAATAAACTGGTTACTGAATATAACTAGTTCAAAAATGGAAAAAATATATTCTGCTTGCCTGCACAGAATATGATAGTTATCAAAAGCTGGTTTAGCACATAATGAAACTAGACTATATTACTGATGGTTAAGTCACATTTAGATACTGGCCATTCTTCATTACATAAATATTTGGAAATTATTTTTTGTTCATCTAGGCAGACATGATTATTACAAAATACCTATCCAGACCTCAGTTTGCACGGAGTTCCAGCACATGGAAAACCCTACTTGTGTAAGACAGTGGTGGATATCATAGCTACTAGAGTGCCCATCTAGATGAATCTTCAGAAAAATATCTGTGATACAAGAGGAGCTCAACAGCCTGTCCTGTATCTTGGATTGTGAGTGGGAAATTGATACATGGTATTGTGTGCTGTCCCAGGCTGAGTGACAGCCCTGCCATAAGGCCATGCAAGGGGAAACTAAGTCTGAATTCAACTTCAGGCTGACTGAAACAAGAAACCCATGAGATGAAGGAGACTGGACCTTTGTCTCTGCTTGGGACAGAAGGAAGAACCTTCTCCTAAAGTGCCCCTGAGTAACTGATGTGATGCTCTGGGGGAGGAGAATGAATAGCACGTGAGTAATGGTCAGAATTTAGAGGAAGTTAACCATGCAAAGTTGATCCAACTGCTCAACCACATTAGAACCAGTGCTACCAGAAAGAGACTATATGACCCTTGGAGCAAAGTTAAAAGGATCTAGAGCACGGGTGGTGTTCTCTTCTAGCCTTCTATTGAAAGGAAGAGCCTTAGGAAGGAAGAGATGAACTGTACATGTGACTGCCTGGCTGTGTGACTGGTGTTATACTTAAGATATTGACTTCTATGATCATAGGTCTACCTTTGAGAAGATGGTCTGTTGGGAGTTGATGGGATTCACCTGACCAAGTAGGGCAAGAAAGTCTTCACCAATAAGCTGCCCAAACTTACATGGAGAGTTTTAAACTAGACAGCAGGGGAAAGGGGTGGAGTTTTAAGAAGCCAGGGGTGGCTGAGGTATTAGGATCCAACAGGTTAACACCTGTGAAGTGCCTCAAAAGAATTAGGGTGTGGTCCTCTAAAAAGGTGACATGATCAGTAGCCCATCTGAAGTGCCTCTATGCTAATGTATGCAGTATGGGTAACGAGCAGGAGGAGCTGGAAGCCATTGTGCACCTAGAAAGCTATGACTGAATCACTATCACCAAAATGTGATGGGACAAATTGCACAACTGGAGCACTGCAATTGATGGATACAAACTGTTCAGGAGGGACAGGCAAGGAGGGAGGGGTAGGGGAGGGAGTGTGCCCTCCATGTAAAAGAATGCTTGACTAAACTATTAACCTTCTACAATGGAGTGGCTGTATCAGTGGACAAGGGAAGGACTACAGATTTTATCTGCTTAGACTTCTATCAGGCCTTGATACAGTACCCCAAAACATCCCTGCTGCTAAATTGGAGAGATACGCGCTTGATGAATGGACTGATAGATGGATAAGGAACTGGTTGGATGGCTATGTCCAAAGAGTTATAGTCAATGGCTCACTCTCTAAATGTAAACCAGTAAAAAATGGTGTCCCTCAGGTGTTCAAACTGGGACTAATATTACTTAATATCTTCATCAACAACATAGTGTGATTTGAGTCTACCCTCAGCAAGTTTGCAGATGATGCTAAACTGAGTGACGTAGTTGATTTGCTATAAGGAAGGGATGCCATCCAGGCAGATCTTGACAGGCTTGAGGAGTGGGCCCATGTGAACCACAGGAGGTTCAATAAGGCCAAGTCTTGCACTTGGGTCAGAGTAATCCCAAGCATCAATACAGGCTGGGGAATTAATAGATTGAGAGCAGCCCTGTAGAGAAGGAATTGGGGATACTGGTGAATGAAAAATTAGACATGATCTGGCAAGATGTGCTTGTAACCCTGAAAGCCAACTGTATCCTGGGCTGCATAAAAAGAAATGTGGCCAGCAGGTCAAGGAAGGTGATGCTCACCCTCTACTCCACTCTTATGAGATCCCACCTGGACCACTATGTCCAGCTCTGAGGCTCCCAGCAGAAGACAGACATGCATCTGTTTGAATGGGTCCAAACAAGGGTAACAAAAATGAACAGAGAGCTGGAACACCTCTCCCATGAAGAGAGAGGAAGGGCTTTTTAGTAGGGTCTGTAGCAATAGGACAAGGGTTAATGGTTTTAAACTGAAAGAGGGTAGAATCAGACTGTAAATAAGGAAGGAATTTTTTACGAAGAGGGTGGTGAAACACTGCAACAGGTTGCCTAGAGAGGTGGTAGATGTCCCTGGAAATATTCAAGGCCAGGTTGGATGGGGCTTTGATCAACCTGATCTAGTTGAAGATGTCTCTACTCATGGCAGGGGGGTTGGACTAGGACACCTTTAAAGGTCCTTTTTAACCCAAACCATTCTATGATTCTGTGACAGACTGAGATAGTTGGGGTTGTTTATACTGGAGAAGAGAAGGCTTCAGGGAGACCTTATTGCCACTTTTCAATATTTAAAGGGGGCTTATAAGAAGGATGGGGAGATACCTTTTACCAAGGACCATAGTGACAGGACAAAGGACAATGGTTTTAAACTGAAAGAGTTAGGTTTAGAATAGACATAAGGAAGAAATTTTTTTACCATGAGGGAGGTAATACATTGGAACAGGATGCCCAGTCAAGTTGTGGAATCCCCATCATTGGTAATATTCAAGATCAGGTTGTATGGGGCTTTGATCAACTTGATCTAGTGAAAACTGTTCCCTGCCCATGGCAGTGGGGTTGGATTAGGTGACCTTAAAGGTGACCTTCCAGCACAAACTATTTTATTATTCTATGATTATTATGCCTGTAAAAATAAATTCTTTTTTAGGATTGAATGACCAGGATAAATTTTGATTATCTTGTGACCAAATATCAAGCAGTTAAAAATACAAGTTAGCAATTTCAAAATCAGTTGCATTTTTTCAGCTACGATTATTGTTATGAAACATCTTTTTCAAAGTAATGAAAATTACATATGTATATATATTCACACACACTCAGAGATATACAATTATAGAAATTAAGTACTTAGAAGGAAAAAAAAGCTTATATGAAATATTTTCTCCCTTTCTTCCAATCTTCTAAGTATGGAAGTATGTCATAAGGTCAGGAAATCCAAAGAAAGTGGATACACTGCAGTTAACTCCTTGCTGATATGTAATAGATTAATTTATTAACTTTGTAACTAATTTTTAAAAGATTCTAAAAAGGTTCTCATCTGTATTTTCTGTGTCACTAGAGCTCAACAAAGTATAAAATGGTTTCATATGTCTCCTACTTTCTTTAAATCATGTTTGATGTATAAAGATGCATTCATCTATCCTAGAAGAAAAAATATGTCACTTTCCCTGCCATACTGTAGTATTCTGACTTAACGTCCCTCCCTTTCCCCCTCCATAAAGACACACACACAGAGTCCAAGTCAGTAAAGAGAAATAGTGTTTCTCAGTTCACACTAGTATTCTGGAGAAGGTGATCCAGTCCCTATATTCAGTGTGTGCTGTTCTATTGGTATACAGAGCAAAGAGGAAGGGGGTTGGTCCTCTCTGCTCATTTAGTAACCCATCAGTTCTCCCTAAACTGATACTGGGCTCCTAATGCTTTTGATGAAACCTTATATCTCTGACAGGCTCTGATGGGACTACTTGCCTAGCAAACGGAAGGTATGAATTCCAGACTGTATCCCCATTTCATACGTCCAAAGTCATATCTAATAGACCATGGAATATATTTGTAGGGTACTTTCTATTGCCCGCGTGTTAAAAATGGCCCATGATGCAGTCAGATACAAGGTATGTAAGTGTCTGACCATTTTTTTAACTTAAAACTATATATCCATGGGTTCTGGTTTCTCCTCATAAAATATGTTTAAATTATTGTTGTGCTTGTCATTCTTACTGCTATTAAGAAAATGGATAGGCCAGTGTAAAGAGCATTCCAGGGAAAGAGATATGGATTTTCCAGTTTGACTCCTCAGTGCTTCATGTTTGTATCTTAGGCAGCCTGAATTACATCAACAACGCATAAAGACCAAGCAGGGCAAGGTCA